GGAGCCTTCGCTTTTACCAACTGTAGGCATGGAGGCTCTTCGGTGACTCTATGGAGGTCAGGGGCAAGATCTGCTTCTGCAATCTCCCTTCACGCATTTTCTCTGGACTTCTGGCTTTGCTATGCCCAAGAGTCTTGCACCAGTTACCAAATGCACCCCATTCCCATGTTCTTTCCCGCATCAGAAGTTGATACTATCAATAAACACGTCCTTCATTTCCTTTTTATTATATTATTCCGTTATATAAAACATAATGGGCCCCTTCAGAGGTTTCTTCTTCCGAACAGGTGTCTTTTCGTGTGTGCTTCTCTCTCCATTATGGCTCAAGTACAGCAGAAATCTCAGACATTAACATGCTACTTTAGAATAAAATGTACACCTGAACTATACACAACATGCTGAGCCTCTGACAGAATAGCTACAGCGTGCACAGATAAATCCAAGACAGATCCAAGTCTGTACCTCTAGACACAGATATGGGACGCTGGGGCGGGAAGTACTGAGCACTCCGGTAGAAAGCTTGAGAAGGAGGTGAAGGCAGAGACTTTAGGGACTCAGCTAGACTGCTAAAGAAAAAGCGATTTATATGCGTTGTATGCGCGATATAACATTGCGCCACCAGATGGCGGCAAGGAGTCCCGTTTTTCTTTACCAGTTTTACCTGTTTAAATTTACAACGCTTAAAACCGAAACACTTCTTTGATGTGTCTAGATCCAGCCTAGCTTTTCAGGGAAAGGGTAGTTAAATTATTCCTATTAGAAAGCACCTGGAAAATTGTTAAATACATACCATCAGTCAATGATTCTCTTGCTGCTTGATTGACGTAGTATTTTAATTCTGACACTACGGAGTCAATGGGCACTTGGTTCAGCAGGGATGGGGAATTTTGGGGCCACATGTGGTCCTCCGGGACCCTCTATCTGGCCTTGGGGAGCAGGCTTGAGTCTTGTAAGACCTGCTCCCTTCCTTGCAGGTTTTCTTCACCTGGCCTGGGAGGGCAGGGCCCTGACTGGCTCCAGCTACAAAAACTGAGGAACACAAACCTGGGCTGGGTATTTTTTTGTTTGTTTGTTTGAGGGGTTTGTTGCTGTTGGTTTGGCGTATCTTTATTTCATATGCTGTTGATGTGATTTATGTTCAGTTTGGTTTTGTATTTTTAATGTTTTATTTATTGTTTACGACTACTTTTGTAGTTACATATTTTTTTCATGTTGTGAGCCACCTTGAGCATGGTTTGAACTGTGGAAAAACTATGTAGGTGGCATGGGCGTAGCCAAGATTCATGTTGGGGGGGGCAGATTCTCAGTTTGTTAAGAATATTGTATTGATTTAGGGAGGCATCTGCCCCCTGGCTACGCTCATGTTAAGTAGGTAAACACCCTCCTGGCCACACCCCTTGCCAGCCCTACTAGAGTGGCTTTTTTTGCCTGGCTGAATTGTGTACTGGAACTCTGATAATGCCTCTTGTTTGCCTGGAGAATAGAGAGGGAAGCCTGCAATGTCTGAAGAAACTAGCCTACTATACAAAAGGTAAAATTCACATCCATTGCTCTGCCCACTTTGCCTTATCCATGACTGCCATGTAGCTCCCAGAGGTTTGCGCAGAAGAGATGTAGCCCTCAGGCTGGAAAAGGTTCTCCAGCTCTGTCTGGACTAGAGCCTGGAGATGACCAAGGCGTCATCTCCAACTACCCCAGAGTTGGCCTACACTTCTTTTTCCTTCCTTTCACCTCTGCTAAGTCTTCTGCTTTTCTTCCTCACTTGTCAATAGCACAGCCCACTCTCAGTTCTTCCAGCTCAAAAGTCTCCTCTGCCCACTCTCCCTCCTTCCTGGAACTGCTAAATCTTATGGCAGCACTTGCAGCCCTGCCAGCATAAGGCTTCTTCATTAACTTCTGCTCACTTCCTTGTGATGCCTTGGAGACACACTGGAAGCGCAGACTAACCTTCCTCACATTTCATTCACAAGATAATCCACAGTTTTCTTAATGGCCATCCTATTAGCGAACAAAAACAGAGAAACAAATACCACATTAATTGAGAGCGGCATACAGGCGCTGTCAAGCACAGCCCTGGAAGGAGCTTCCTCTAGTGGGCATGAGGTTTTGTTGCTTGTCATTTCCTTTCAGAACTAAAAACCCTTCAGTACCTTTCCCCCCTACGCTTTGATCATTAACAAACAGTGTTTTCTCCCTCCGGCTATGAACAAAGTTAAATTAAATCCTTGCCTCAGGAAAGGCAGACTTCTTGGTTTTGCGTCATACAACAGGCATGGAAGTGAAATCAAAACACTTGTGCTTTGTTGAAGTGGTCATAACTGGGAGTTTGCTTCGTGCCAGTAAATTGTTCGTGTGCAACAACACAGGCTGGGGAATGGCATTGCAGAGGTTTTACCACCTTAATTTTTCCTGAGTTACTTTACCCAGAAGCAGCAAGTGTCTGCATCTCTCGTTTCTCTCTGCAGCGTCTCTCTTATCAGTGTAAAATACAGTTTCGTTTCTTACTAAGTTTGGCTGAAGGATTTGGCTTTTTCGACCTAGGTATGTCTCGTAGTTTTTATGGCACCTGTCTCAAAGGGATGCTAGGGCAGCTTCCAAGCACATTAAAACTGTCAATAATTGAAACATCAATAATAAAAAGGAGAAAACCTACAGTTACTTAAAAAGAAGAAGTCCCTATGCACATCCCTAGCTATAAGATGTTTGTGTGAATAGCAATGGCTTACACTATTTGCAAAAGGTGAAAGGTTCAGACATAGATGGGCTTTTACTAAGAGGAAATGTCACAACCAGAGAAGATGAACTCAGAGAGAGTCAGTCAGCCTGTTGCAGGTAAGAATGACACATTCAGCCTAACATCCCCACGATATCATAAAGGCCTCGTAGGTTTAGATGGGAAGAGGCTTTATACCAGCACCACAAATTGTGCCCAGAAATATATTGGCTGAAAGTGCAGATACTGGAGTACTGCTGGCCAGCTCTACTGCAGCTAAGCTGTGGAACATATTCATGACATCCCCCACATTCAATTCACACTTAAGGCCCAAGCACAGATTCAGAATCGAGACCTAAGCCTGGCATAGAGACAAGAAGATAGAACACTCGATGTAATTTTCAAACCAATGACCCCACTTAACAAATACATGCATACATTGAACCAGAACAGAGTGCCAAAGCACCCCACAGGAAAGAGATTACAAACATTTAACTATAAGCACCTTCTGTGTTCTTCCTGCCAGGTCCGAACAGAGCCCCTGCAAGGCAGTCCCATGGATTTGACTTGTTTTAGTTCAAATGACTTCAGTGTTTACACTGCCCTTATTTTTACTAAGTATTTTGTGTTTTTTATATTATAATTTTATGTTGTGAACAGTAAAGGTAAAGGTAAAGGTACCCCTGCCCGTATGGGCCAGTCTTGACAGACTCTAGGGTTGTGCGCCCATCTCACTCTATAGGCCGGGGGCCAGCGCTGTCCGGAGACACTTCCGGGTCATGTGGCCAGCGTGACGAAGCTGCTCTGGTGAGCCGGCACCAGCGCAGCACACGGAAACGCCGTTTACCTTCCCGCTAGTAAGCGGTCCCTATTTATCTACTTGCACCCAGGGGTGCTTTCGAACTGCTAGGTTGGCAGGCGCTGGGACCGAGCAGCGGGAGCTCACCCCGCCGCGGGGATTCGAACTGCTGACCTTTCGATCGGCAAGCCCTAGGCGCTGAGGCTTTTACCCACAGCGTCACCCGCGTCCCTGTTGTGAACAGTATACAAATTTAAAATAAATACATAAATAGATGGATAAGGGCCAGCTTAGCGTAGTGGTTACTTCGAATCTATCTTTGCAGAATCACCAATTGCTTAACGGCAGTTCGATACTCTGCGGGCACTGTCTGGCTTTTAATAAATAAATAAATAGGTGGATAACTTTGGGCACAGCACAACTAAATTGACTAAAATTCAAGCATTCCCACTTATGAGCCAACCCTATATGTACCTACTCAGTAGTAAGTCTCACTGAGTTCAGTAAGCCTTATTCCCAAGTAAGTGAATATAGGATTACAGCCTCAGATGTATAAGTGTCTGCACAGAAACAGGCACAAGAAAGCTCCCATTGCATGTAGAGAGAATAATGGTAGCTGTAGAACCATTTTTACACAGAACTACAACATCTTATCCATTCAATTCCATTTGCCTCCATAGGCTAAGGTCTGGGACATTCTGGATGTGATCAAACCACACCACGTTGGTGTGTCTTTTCCATGTCAAAATGGTTATGTTAAGCTATCCTGAGTGACAGTGTAGTGCACATGTCAAAATATAATTAAAAACTGGAAGGCCCATGAGGACTTTCTCAAGCTCCTTTAATGAGCTTGGTTATAGTTACTGTAATAATTGTCTTATTTAAAGCAGGTGTGTATCTCAGGTTGAAAGTGATGGCTGGGCGTGATTCTCCAAGGCCATCTTATTCTATTGTGGCGGCAGGGAAAGCCTCATACAGGAGCTGTAGGCAGAGGGGCAAGTTATATGAACAAAGCCTCTGAAAGAACTTTTATGGCACGTAGCTGCTACCAGCTACCCAAGGGTGAATTATTAGCATTTGATGTTGCAAGCCTTGTCATCGGCATAATAATGCAAATATCTTGACAATGCTGTTTGCTGTCACCGTGTAGCCTTCAGTCCTATCTCCCAAAAGAAAGACTTTAAATGAACTGAATCTTCCCCAGCCTTCCTCTTCACTGTGCGCCCTGAGTAGGCAGGGGCTTAGATCCGACAGGTGACTGGACTTCACAAACACCAGGTCTAGCACACATGGACATTGGTTTGAAAACACCCTGCAGACAACATTTGAAAAACTGTCCTATCCCCTTTTTTTGTTCCCAACAGTCTCAAAATCCAGGATTTTCACTCTGATCTCTCCCCCCCCCCCGCTTTTAGCTTGTCAGTCCGTGATGCAAAGTAGGTCACAGTATATGTTTTATCAGAAAAAGGAAGGAGACCACACAGACAGTCTGTATGAGCACAGATCTCTGTTTAGGGAGTGCTCCGTAGAAATCCTTGTAAGCATAGTGTCCTATGTTTCATAGGAAAGTGTGTAATCCGAGAGAATTATCCATCTGATGCAGAGATTCTTCACTATACGTGGCCACCTTTGGATAGGTAAGCAATCAGTGCTACAATCACTCCAACGTACACTCCCGTGCCAATGGTGATAGAGAGCGCAGCAAGGAATAGTGCTCGCCGGGACGCAGAACTTGCCAGGTGAAAGTCCCCCTTGGAGATAGCCTTACTCGTCTGGAAACAAACAATAAATACATTATTTGTATCAATGGACAATAGCCTCAAAGGCTAATAATATCAGCTGTTTTTCAGTGAAAAGAGAATGCTTTTGTCTTCCTCAAAACTGCGTGTTAATGTATATTACCATTACCATTACCATTATTAATTTATTATTTATACCTTGCCCATCTGGCTGGGTTTCCCCAGCCACTCTGGACGGCTTCCAACGGAAAGTTAAAAATACATTAAAACATCAGTTGTTAAAAACTTCCCTAAAGAGGGCTGCCTTCAGATATCTTCTAAAAGCCTGGTAGTTGTTGTTCTCTTTGACATCTGGTGCGAGGGTGTTCCACAGGGAAGGCGCCACTACCGAGAAGGCCCTCTGCCTGGTTCCCTGTAACTTGGCTTCTCGCAGTGAGGGAACCACTAGAAGGCCCTCGGTGCTAGATCTCAGTGTCCGGGCTGAACGATGGGGGTGGAGACGCTCCTTCAGGTATACTGGGCCAAGGCCGTTTAGGGCTTTAAAGGTCAGCTCCAACTTTGAATTGTGCTCGGAAACGTACTGGGAAACAATGCAGATCTCTCAGGACCTGTGTTATATAGTCTTGGTGGCCACTCCCAGTCACCAGTCTAGCTGCCGCATTCTGGATTAATTGCAGTTTCTGAGTCACCTTCAAAGGTAGCCCCACGTAGAACGCATTGCAGTAGTCCAAGTGGGAGATAACTAGAGCATGCACCACTCTGGCAAGACAGTTTGCAGGCAGGTAGGGTCTCAGCCTGCATACCAGATGGAGCTGGTAGACAGCTGCCCTGGACACAGAATTGACCTGTGCCTCCATGGACAGCTGTGAGTCCAAAATGACTCCCAGGCTGCGCACCTGCTCCTTCAGGGGCACAGTTGTCCCATTCAGGACCAGGGAGTCCCCCACACCCACCCGTACTTCTGTCTTGTCAGGATTCAGCCTCAACCCATTAGCCGCCATCCATTCTCCAACCATATAATATAATGTAAAATACATATTATATTACAACAATTTGTTCAATGAGAGTCATGGCTGGTGGTTTTAATTATTACATGTAAACCACCCAGGGAACATTCATTATTGGGTGGTCAATAGATGCATGCATACGTGTGAACTTTCAGAGGCATCTGGTTAGCCACCGCTGAGGGGGGGAAAGATGCATAATGTTCTATTTTAGTCTGATCCAATGAGTTTATGTTTGTCCATCCCTTCAGTGACTGTATTATGTTGCTTCTTCTAGATATTTCCTTGGAGATAAGCTGACCCAAATTCACTGAGCTAGTCAGTGAGAACAAAGAACACTTCGTTAGCTCATTGCTTGTTATAGGTTTTTCCTTTTATTCACAATTTAGTATCTCTGAGGCCGTGTCCACACAGGATTCTCCAGAACCAAATTTGTGTTAACCAAATCTATACTGTGCCTACAGGGGACAATGTCAATAGGGGGCTTCCCCATGCAGCTCTATTCCTGAGATAGTCAGGAATCTTCTCCTGAGCTAAAATGCTGAACCAAGAGTGGAAGAGGGTGTTGTTGGTTTTTTTAAAAGTTTTGTAAATGTGCCTTTCAGCTTCTGTTTTGCATAGCTCAGGTGTCAAGAGCCTTTGAGTCTGAGGACCTGCTTCTGCTTCCCACAGTTTTCATGGGGGAGAGGGTTGCCTTCACTGTGTTCCTCCTCTTTGCCCTCCGGTCTCCTAGGTACCCCAAGCATCATTGAGGAATCTGCTTTAGCCTTTGCACGTTTGCCTCTAAAGATTCCAAGGTTTGAATACTTTCAGGCAATCCCCATATCTCTCTACATCCCCTTGTGCCTTCCAAGTTCGGAGGGGGCCACATGATACATCTCTGTCGCTATGGTGCTACTTGCCTTGCTGCTCCCACCTGTCAATCTTACTTTCTGTTGCTCCAGTTGCTATGGCAACAAGAGTAGCAGCTCTTTAGCTCTTGGTGCAGAACACTGGGCAGGCTGCTGCATCATTTGCCATAGATTGCCTTCCTTGCTTTGGAGCTCCAGTCCACCACAGCCCTCAGCACCTTCCAGGATGCATGATGGTTTCCTCCTGGGGGAGGTTGTGCTCACGACCCCAACATCACAGTTCCATAGAATCATGCCGCTCCTTGACTCACAAGGGGCTAATTCACAAGCTCCTACAACCAGATAACGTCGTTCCTTCAAAGTGTGCCTTGCTGTGGTCCTGTTTGCGTTTAATCCTACCTGTTATCTTACTGCTTAATTTCCAAGCTGCATAAAAGCTTTCAAAAGGACCACGTAATTCCCTAAAGCTTAATGCTTTTGTGCTGCTGGCAAGCATGGATTCATCCCTCTTCAAAACATTTCTCCCCAACAATTCTAATACTTCTGCTTGCTGGCTTACTACGAAATTCCTTATTGTCTTGAGTTGAGAGCAATTATTTGTTATTCTTCTACTTTTCCTATAATTAACAGTGTTACTATTAAGAATTCTTCCTCTCTTTGCTAGTGTTGTCAGGCTTCCTTAATTGGCTTTTGTTTTGGGGTTGGTTCCACCAAATTTTGGAATTCCTTCTCTAAACACATGATGAAACTGATGTCTTCTTTGACCTCTCTGTTTTAGGTAACAGACAAAAATCCTTTTTTTCTTATGCCTTAAATGGCTTTTAAGATTTATGGCACTTTTTTGCTTTTCATGATTTTGATGTTTTGATTCAGGGATAATAACCAATGTGGTGCCTGTGAAGGATGGCCAGACCCAACCACTTACTAGCAAAGGGTGACCCATCCTACATCTTTCTTTCCCTGCCACTTATTTGCCACCTGGGGTAAGGGATGCAAAATACCTACTACCTTTTGGTGGCTGTCTTGGGAGTAAGGGGACTGCCAGCAGAAATCTGTCTCCTACCTGGCAATTTTAGCCCATCATCCCTCCTGCACTCCCAGGAACTTTAGATCAGTAGCATAGTCCAGTCTCAGTAACATGGGGGGGGGAGATAGGCATTGAGTGTTTCCAGAATACAGTGTAGCTCAGAAATCCAATTAAGCAGTTTATTATGGAGGAGTATTTAAAAAGGAGGGAAAGTGGGGAAACAGAGAGTATGCACAGTACTGGCCTAGATGATCCTGTCCCAAGCAAGCGAACATAGCAAACCTTACTCTTATGGTTACCATTCAAGTTGGTAGCTTCAGGAGCTGGTTGAGGGATAAGGGACAAAATAATGTTAGCAATATCCTACTTTAAAGGGATCTTGACCCAGGTGGGTTGTGATTGACAGATGGCTCCCAGCAGCTAATCAGAGAGACTACAGTAGCCAAGAAGGTTAAAAGTTGGGAGATGGGGTTGCGATAGTGTCAGTTCCTGCCACAGTGGTCTTTCTATCCTACCAGACCACAATCTGTCCTCAGCTTCTGCATTGGACTAGGGATGTGATGGAGGTCTAGAGAACTTGAGTATCGTAAGGGAACAGATTAGGGCAAGGCATAGCTTTGCCACAGTGACCTCCAGAAGTTGTTGCGCTACTGCTGTCATCTTTCGCCATACTGGCTGGGGCTGATGTAAGCTGGAGTCCAGTAAGATCTAGAAGCCACTACAATAGGCACCCTATTTTAATTCATTTTACCCACTAGCTTTTTAGCTGTGTTATTTTCTCCTGCTGTTTTTATTGTTTTTATTGATTTTTTAAAAAAATAATAAAAAAGTTTTAATTTTGTATTGTAAGCTGCCTTGAAGCTAGATGTGGTAAGATGATGGTAGAAATCCTATAAGTAAAATAAAAGTGAGCTGTAAATGAGTCTTTATTGAAACACACAAATAATATTTTATTCACATCTTGCTCATTCTGAATCTGACTTCTGTTGGGTGAGTTTGATTACAATGTAGCGCAACAGAGGTCAGCAGAGAACCACTGGTATAATCATACCTTCCAGTAGCACCTTAAAGACCAACTAAGTTAGTTCTTGGTATGAGCTTTCGTGTGCATGCACACTTCTTCAGATGAAGAAGTTCTGAAGAAGTGTGCATGCACACGAAAGCTCATACCAAGAACTAACTTAGTTGGTCTTTAAGGTGCTACTGGAAGGAATTTTTTTGTTTTGGCTATGGCAGACCAACACGGCTACCTATCTGTAACTGGTATAATCATGTAATGGACAGTCTTCTAAAATACTTCCTCTACAGTGGAGACAGGGATACTTGTAGCCAACCAGATACTTGTGGACTCCATCTTCTAAGAACCCCAGCTAGCATCGCCAGTGTTCAGGGATAATGGGAGTCTAGCAACATCTTACGAGGGCCACAGGTTTCTTAGCGCTCTCTACAGAGACGACTTACAGTACTAGGAAAATGTAGTTGATATAATCAATTTGGATCTCAGCCAAGCAAAGGAATTTTACTACTTAAACTGGAAAGGATGGGTGAGAAAGGGGAATCAGATGAAGAGTTGTGCTGAATGTGAAGGGCAAGCGTTCAATCTGGAGGGGTGGGGAAGGCCCATGGCATTTGCTTTGCATGCAGAAAGTCAATTCCTGGCATCTGCAAGAAGGGCTGGGGGGAAATGGACATCCATTTTATATGCAGATCCTTTAAGGTAAAAGGTAAATGTAAAGAATCCTGGATGATTAAGTCCAAACAAAGGTGACTATGGGGTTGCGGTGCTCATCTCGCTTTCAGGCCAAGGGAGCCAGTGTTTGTCCACAGACAGCTTTCCGGGTCATGTGGCCAGCATGACTAAACTGCTTCTGGCGCAACAGAACACCGTGACAGAAACTAGAGCGCACGGAAACGCCATTTACCTTCCCGCCACAGTGGTACCTATTTATCTACTTCACTGGCATGCTTTTGAACTGCTAGGTTGGCAGGAGCTGGGGCAGAGCAACGGGAGCTTACCCCGTTGCGGGGATTTGAACTGCTGACTTTCCGATCGGCAAGCCCAAGAGACCCCGTGGTTTAGACCACAGTGCCACCCGTGTCCCTCAGTAAAGGTGATACTGAGCTAGATGCACCAATGGTCTGAATTGGTATAGGGCAGCTTCCTAACAAGTGAACTTCCTCTGCAGTCACTATTGGGAGACACATTCCCTATTCATTATGGATCCTGAGGAGAAGAACAGGAGGTTACTGGTGAAATTTGTGAATGAGACCAAGCTCAGAAACATTGTCAGAGCAGGGAAGAATTGGGTGATGATGTAGGGTAAAAAAGAATAATAGAATTGCCATTCAATTCATAAATACAAAGTTTGGGGACAATATTTTTGTTTCTTTAAGCAGTTGTCTATCCTGCACGTCTATTGTAGTGAGTATAGCCAGGGTGGCTAGATTGTCAGCTTTGAGACCTGAAAGGTGAGAGGAAGAAAGACTTTGAATATTGGATAATCATAATGTGATTTACAAGCTACGGTATTTTTTGGATGTGTTTGGCAGGTTTCTTTCCTTTTCTTGACTAAATACAGGGAAAATTTGATATCATGGTGTAAATCACTGGTGAGGTGGTATTTGAAATATGGTGTAGCGGTAAATTTTGAAGAACAGCAGGGATAGGAAGCTTGTGGCCCTCCATATGTTATTCAACCGCAGTTCCCATCATCCCTGTTCACTGGCCATGTTAGCTGGGGCTGAAGGGAGTTGGAGTCCAACAACTTCTGGAGGGCCACAGGTTCCCCACCACTGCCCCATACTCATAAGGCTGTGTGCTTCTGCAGGTTCCTAGCTAGACTTAAGACAAGATAACCCATCTTACTATTCTCTGTAGCATGACTGCAATTCCATGCATAGTTTCTCAGAAATAAGCTCCAATGAACTCACTGATGCTTGTTTCTGACCATAGAGATTCAGCTTGTAAAACACAATGAGTTTTAATAACTTGTAAAACACACTGAGACAGCTGAAGTGCAACATTTAGCTTTTAATTAGAAAATCTTGCAAGGAAATTATACCACTTAAACCATTGGTATGAAATAGGAATCCCATCAAAAAGAATTTTAGAGCCTCTGCATGATTATTCTCTGATTTCTTTACTGCTAAGTTGTCAAATGTAAAACTTGAAAGGCTCATCATCACCTCATTCTCTTCCTAGAGCAAGGAAAGTCAATCAATTGCCCTGGCGCTCTGGGAGATGATGTCATTGCTCCTGCTGTGAAAAAAGGCCCAGAGCTGTGCCCCTGCCAGAGCACCACTGCTACTGACCATGTTGAAGACACTTGGCCATCTGTCACAGAGCTTTGTCATTCTGTGGCTGGAGTGATGTAGCAGAGGATTGATATATGGCCAAAAATAATGCTTAAGCAATAGCATTTTGTGTGTGTGCCGGGAACAGTGAAAATAAATTCTCCTGAGATGGTGGCTGTTAAATGTGCTTGGTTGTATGTGGAGTTCTCTGTCTGCCCTGCTCCCTTCCTGAATGTAATGTTCTCCATCCTTCTCTCCATTCGGATACGTGATTGAAGTTCAGGTTTACCTTCTGAGTAGACTGTACTTTGCTGGATTACACTTTATTTAAGTTACTCTGACAGTTTGTCAGACGGCAGGCTATATATCCTTTAACAACATAAAATGCAGAAACAGGTGTTTCATTTACAAGGAGAGCGGCCAGAAGCAAAAGGAGAGTGGGCTCCTGTAACCTTTAACAGTTAGAAGAGGGATGATCAGCAGATATATGTTTGCGATGATGCCATAGTGCAGCAAGGCTGCTGAAGTGGGTGTTCTTTGTAACGCCTGTGCTGGAAAATCTGCACTATCTACCACTACATTACTAGGGCAACTTTAAGGTTTTGCTATGGGTATATAAAGCCCTGAGCAATGGGTTATTTCTGGGAATACCATATCTTGCCTGACCAATTTAATCCTTGGGGGAGACACACTTTACTAGTGCTGTATGCTGTATGCTCCTCAAGTTTGTCTTATGCTCACTAAAAACAGGGCCTTTAGTGTGGTGGCACCTACCCTTTGGAATGTGCTTCCAGGGAGCATCAGGTAAGCACCTACAGTATTGACATTAAGGCACTTGTTTCAAACTCTTCGGTTCACCTTTCCTTTAGAGGTGATCCAGCTTCATTGATGTATTAATGTTATCTAGAGATTTGTGATGTCTTTTAAGCCTGCTAGACTAGCCCAGTGCCTCATCGAGTCCAGTATCTTGTTCTCACAGTGGCCTTGTTTTACAAATGTAGTTTCATGATTGATTTTATGCTGCTTACTGCCATTATTTTTTTAAAAAATGTTGACAGTATAGAAAATTTAGCCTGTGAATAAAAGTGGAAAGGCTGTACTTGCCCAAAACTCTTTTTTGTACAGCTATTCAATGTACAGTCATACCTCGTGTTGCGTACTTTTGCGTTACGTCCCGTGGCAACCTGGAAGTACTGGAATGTGTTACTTCCGGGTTTCGCCGCTCGCGCATGCGCAGAAATGCTAAACCGCACTTCGCGCATGCGCGCCAAATCGCACCGCGCACCTGAACAGACATAGTGCTTCGAGTTGCGGGCATTTCAGGTTATGGACAGGCTTCCGGAATGGATCCCGTCCGTAACACAAGGTACCACTGTACAACAGTCCGATCCATCTTCCCTTTTGGATAGTTCAGCTTCTTTTCTTACAGGTTGGGAATAGCAGTGCTTACAGTTACCTTGTGAGGTTTCAGTGTTGCTTTAAAGAGCAGTTGATCCTATTAGGAGTTTTCGGTTGAGTCCCACGTGACTTTCACACATAAAGCCACGCACCCATGCACTCCCATAATTCACACTTGAAATATGTTGCAATGCAGAGAGCAAATCATGTCGGCTTCGTGACAACATGGACGCTGCTGCTTTGCCATGTGATGAGGATCCAAGCACTGTTTTGAGCCTGATACAAGAACAGCCCTATCATTTGATAGAATGAGGACAGATTTGGGGGGTAGCATTAAAGGGGGAGGTGAGGGATGAATGGTGGCAAAAATTTCCCTGTGGTGGAAATTTTTAGTAAAATATGGAGTGACATTTGCATTTATTCCATCAAGCACCAACATGTTTGGGGTTGGCACTAGGTAGCTAGACACACACACACACACACACACACACACACACACTCCACATCCCAGCAACTTCCCAGATAATTTCATGTTAGCAGGGGGTCCTAGTTGCGTGGGACTGCAATATACTTGGCACAGTAGTGAATTGAGCCCTGACAGGCCTTTTATAAAATAGTTCCCTAAGACAAGAAGAACACAGTACATAGCAGGAAACATCAGCACACGCAAATTCTTACCCCTTGAGAAAAGTAGAAAGCAGCAATTCCCAGAGGCCAGAAACAACAGAGCATTGAAAAAATTGCCAAGCCCAGGTGGTCTCGTGGGGGAAGCATCAGAAAATGATCTTCACTCTCGCTGTCACTGGAGGAGTCACTCTGGAAAGCAAATCAAGGCAATGGCACACTGTAAGTCTGACCCACAGAGTATTCAGCAGCAGCAGAACATGTAACCAATTTACACTACACATGTTTGATGTTGCTGCTGTGACAACACTTTCTCTCCTGATATACAGCAGCAGGCAGATGAACTTCATGGGGCAGGAAGCGCTGTGATGGGAGTGTCGGCGGGACGAGTCCATCACACATTCAAGCGATACAGAGTCAGCCTCTATGAGCTAGGATGTTTATCTGCCAAGGAACAGCGGCTAATATGAATGATCTTTTGGGAACTGGGTGTCCAACAGAGATGATATACAGGGCACCACCTCAATCATCACCATACTTCCCCGTCTTCAGACTGAAAATACTTGATGTCTATTAGGCAGCAGATGTACTGCTTAGTATGCTGATTGAGAATAATCTTCTTGGCTTCAGTCCACAAACCATTTAATCTGGAGTGGTCTGGCAGGTATTTCATAGACCTCAGTAGGACTTCAGTGAGACTATTGGGAGTAAGAAACATGTGCTTTTCAGCAATCTATGCATTACTGGCATTCTTCCATATGTCTATATGTATCTTGTCTTACAACATGCTTATCCTAAAACACAACATCAAAAAAATGTGCAACTGACGAATGCACTTGGAACTCAAAACAAATAATCCATACAAACATAATTGAGCTGGATAAATAAGATGGATGGTTAAATAGGAACCCTAGAGGAAGCTGGTATCCGCATTATGACAACTCAACAAAGATGTCCTCAAATCACTTGTTTCAGAAGGGACCATTAATTCTAATGGGCTTTTCGAAGGTAAGACTATTGAGAATTTGAATCTGTCACATTCCCTGAATGACTATGGGAATTACTAAGATTGACAATTAAGTCTGGCTGTGTCAATCCTGCAAATGGAAATTACTAGTACTTTAACTACCCAGCTATGAATCAAAAGAGTAATGGAATATGTAGGCATGGGGTCCTCAACCTTTTTGGGCCCAGAAGCAAAATTAGAAGAAGAAGAAGAAGAGTTTGGATTTGCTATCCCGCCTTTCACTCCCCTTCAGGAGTCTCAAAGTGGCTAACAATCTCCTTTCCCTTTCTCCCCCACAACAAACACTCTATGAGGTGAGTGAGGCTGAGAGACTTCAGAGAAGTGTGACTGGCCCAAGGTCACCCAGCAGCTGCATGTGGAGGAGCGGAGACACGAACCCGGTTCCCCAGATTATGTGACTACCGCTCTTAACCACTACACCACACTGGGGTTTAAGAAACTATTGTGGACGCCACAAAATATCCCATTCCAAAACATTTATCCTCCCCAACTCACCCCGCCACCACGGAACAATATCCATTCGTACCACCAAAGCAAGGATTTCCACAAGTGCAACTGAATTCCCCACTTCTCCTCTCCTGTGGACTCCCTAAATCTGTTCTGGGTTTCCTCCAAAACCTCTGGAGCAGATTTGGGAAGGGTACCATACAAGGCATGCGCGTGTGCGGGGGGTGCAGTTCCATTGCACAAGTGGAAATCCTTGCATTGATAAAACAAGTTAGAAGAACAGCATCCAAAGAAAGAAAGCTACACCCCCTAGAAAAAAAACAGGCAAACCCCCAACCACCATCCCAACACCCCATTTAAAAGAAACAGTAAAAAATGAGAGTGGCAAGGTGCCTTGATGGGTGCCAAGGGGTGTGTGTCTGAGGGTGCTAATGTGTCCATCAGACCATGTTGAGGGCCCCAGATTTAGACTGACAAGGTGACATAGAGAAGTTCTGAGATTAAAGGATGGTTGCTATATTACCAAATTGCCATAGAAAGGATACAGTTACTATTGATACTACCAGGGAGATCCCCAGTACAGTGGTACCTCGCAAGACGAATGTCTCGCAAGACGGAAAACTCGCAAGACGAAAGGGTTTTTTGTTTTTTGAGCTGCTTCGCAAGACGATTTTCCCTATGGGCTTGCTTCGCAAGACGGAAACGTCTTGCAAGTTTGTTTCCTTTTTCTAAAAACTGTTAATACAGTTGCGACTTGACTTCGAGGAGCAACTCATAGCACGCGGTGTGGTAGCCTTTTTTGAGGTTTTTGAAGACTTTGGTGATTTTTGAAGCTTTTCCAAAACTTTTCCGAAACCGTGCTTCGCAAGACGAAAAAATCGCAAGACGAAAAAACTCACGGAACGAATTAATTTCGTCTTGCGAGGCACCACTGTATTAAGAATGGGAGACGAGTCTTGAATACCTTTTAGATTATTTCTGAAAAACTGAAACACCAAGACTTGTCAATTTAAATCAACGGAGATACCGGCATATTTTTATAGTAAAATGGAATAAACATCTGGGTTTTGTGTGTGTGTCCTATCCCTTCTGGAGCTACTTCCTGATAATGTCGGAGGCGATGCCTCAACAAGAGGCATCTCTTCCGATAAAGAAAGCCGTTCCCAAGTGCCACCTTGGGACCAGATGATAAAGAATTGCAACTGTTTGATTTGTACTATACTGCCGGCTGCCGTTGCTTTATAGCTCAATCCCAAGCTTATTCACTTGGAAGAAAGTTCCATTCATTTTAATGGAAGTTGCTTTCAAGTTAAGTGTGCTTAAGGACACTTTCGTTATTAAATAACTCAGTGTGAAATAGTAACCCAGAAAGCTGCAATATAATAATAACAGTGATGATGCTGGAAGTGATGATAATAATAATAACAGAAACCGTGTTAGAAGCCCCCACTCACTGCTGTCAGCTCCAACCCTTGATGCGAAGCAATAGGCGTCCTACTGATTTCTCTCTTCCCCGACCGAAAGCTGCTTCTGCCAACGTCGTCTTGATATAATATTTCTAGGACATCTATCGCCACCATGGCATTTAAGTAGCATTTTTCACCCTCCTACTCTTCCTCTCGTTAAGTATTTTACAGTCTTCCCTCACTCCCCGCTCTCTCATTTGACCTTCTTCTTTTCAGCTCTACTTTCACATATTCTCTCCTCCTTCTTAACAGTTTCACACAGGAGAAGAAGGGGCGGGGGAAGGCTTTGCAGAGTTTATATAATAAACCACATCTTCTCCAGCCACTCGGACGTGGGGCAAGATCCTAACAGAAATCACTGCATGGAAATAGATTATCGTTTTTCTTTCAAGCTAAATTCTCAGCTCACTAGCTGGGGATTTGGGATTTCCATGGAAAATTATTTTTCTTGAGTGCCAGTGAAACAGGGCCGTTTTTCATCTTTAGCAATGTCCCTCGCTTGCATTAAAACTAAAATTGATAAATTGTGAGCTAAAATGGATTAGAAATTCTGGATGTGAGCCTAAAACAAGCTTATTAAAATAATTCATTCTAACTACACACCTCTCTATAATTATTTCTAGTCGTATTATTCTTAATGTATTATATTATGGTGGAAAACCCTTTTTCTTTTGAGAGGGGCATTCTCTTTGAGGTAATCTGTCAGGGGCTGCATGCCAACTCTGGGTGCAGCTGAAGCCAGTGATGTGTGGGGCCAGAACCAAAAGAAGGCGTGGTTCCCCCCCTTTCTCCTCTTGCCAGGAGGTCTGAACTGATCGCTTGCAGAGGGTTTTTGAAATCAGGCTGAGGGCCACCTAAACTTAGGCTGAAGCCTAAGTCCACAGTTGCTCACCCCTGCATTAAACCCTCAGGCTTAATTCCTCAGAAATAGAGGAAGCTGTCTCTCAGGTGTGAGAAGTTCCCATGCAACATTTACCTCAGTTCTTCCTACTATCATGTACATACATCACAATTATTATATTTTCTATATTTACTTCTCTGTCCTAAGCATGATTACTCAGAAATAAGTCCCAAGATAGGTTCACAGCCTCCAAAATTTACCTCATATTCTTGCAATTCCTCTTCTTCCACTTCATAGGACACTGTCTGGATTTTGATGTCATTTTCCATCAGGGACCTCCCTTGGGTTTCTTGCACATCAGAGGCCTCAGCAGGATGCTCTTTGTTTCCCATGAAGGCTGTCTCACAACTCTCACCTTTGTTGTCCTTGACTTTGACACTGGTCTCATCCTTCACCAGGATGAAATTTGGGCCGTACAATGCTTCAACAGCCAGCTGAAGAGAACTGGCATCCAGCAGTTGGTGAGTCCTCGCATTGCCAGAATTTTGGAAGATATAGGAGTACAGTTTACCCTGGCAACGGTGGCCAGGATAATCCTGGTGGTAACTGTAACTGCCATGAAGGTGTCCATTATTCTTGGCCAACAGGGGATTCTGGAGTTCACTCACACTTTCCATTTTGCTGAAAGCTCAGTGCGAGGTGCTTCTAAGACAGATGGATGACAGAGAACAAACTACCCTGAAGAACAAATGAAAGAAAAAGGAGGCAGAATTAGAGGGCACATAAAATATAGAAACTCATTCAGTCAGGTATGGGGAGCCTGTGGTCCTCCAGGTGTCGTTGGAGTTCCATTGGTCCCAGCCAACATGTCCAGTGGTCAGGGATAATGGGAGCTGTATACCAACAACATCTGGAGGGCAACACGCTTCCCATCCCTAGAGTAAGTGGTTCAAGAGCAATAACTATGTTATGTTAACTAGCACTGGGGCATATCTGTGTTGATGGAAATACTGGGATTGAACTCATATAAGTTAAATTCCAGCATGCACCTTGACTCAGAGAACCTAAACTATAGTACTTTGAGGGAAAGTTGATGGAGATCTTTTTCAGATGTGTGCTGGAATTTTGGGAGATTTTGCAGTCAAACCTAGCAATGCACATCTAACCCATTCATTAGGAAATGAAGGGATTAAGGACCACAGAGCTATAAATTTCTAGAGAAGGCATGGCTAGGTCACAGCCCCTCACCCTCAGGGAGGGAGGGAGGGAGGTTTGTTTCTCCTTCCTTCCTTCCTTCCTTCCTTCCTTCTTTCCTTCCTTCCCCTCTGTGAACCTTGTAACTGAGAAGATGTCTGAGGTTGGGGCTCCAGTTTCCGATTCTGTGTTTGAGGCCAACTTCTGTATTTTGTAACCAAGAATGCCTTACCTGTGTTGTTTCTGCTGTAGCACTGAATGATGCATGAGCGAGACCTCTGATTACTGTAAGTAAAGCATTTAAACTTACTTAAGGCTGTAGTCCATCCATTCTGGGAGGGGTAGGGGGCGGGAGAACACAGTTGCGAGTGCTTAATACTGGGAGACCTAAAGGTCTTAACAACCTATATCTATGTGAAAATCTGAAAAGTTGGCTGTTAAAATGCTGCAGCGGAAAATGAAATCTGCATTGTACTGTACTGAAACCATCAAAGTACTAAAGATCTGGACTGTGTGCTATATAGCACTTGGATAATTGGGCAATCAGAAAATCAGAAGAGCTCAGCGATGAGAAACAGGAGCTCGCTATGGACATGCCCTGTTTTTGATGGTAAATGAAAGCATTTGGCTGTGCTACTGTCCACGAATTCATGTACATCTCTCCGCAGCCTGCCAAAATATGGCTTGAAACTGCCTTTATTTGAGTCTTCTTGTCAAGAATCATTGTGGCAGGTAGTAAGATCAGACTATGAGCCATGTGATAAGATGAGAAGGTCAAAGCCATCATGACGGTTAGCATGTGTTGAGCGCTGCCCTTTCTCCTTGGCAGCTTGAGAAAGGGAAGGAGAATCTGATGTAAATGCGCAGTGCATTCTTCATGCTGGGTCATAACTTCCTGGAGAACTACAGTGAATAACAGATGGCCCTGGCATAGACCTGAGGTTGGCATCCCCTGCAGAAACCCTCCTTGCATTCTAAACAAGCGGGACATGCTGCGAATTACAGCCCTTTCATTTGTGAGTGATGCCAGTAAATGTAATATATTTTGCATGCTAAAAACCGCCACACAAAACTGCAGCAAGAGTTCTGAAGCTCGCAAGGTGAGAGTGGAAATAATGAGAATGAAAAAAGAAAACTGAAAGGCTGCTTGCTATGGAAGTACTGTCACTTTTATGGGATCTTGTCTATGCGGTTATATTTTTATATCTAGTGCCTAGGAACACAGGAAGCTGCCATACTGAGTAAGACCATTGGGTCCATCTAGCTCAGTATTGTCCACACTGATTGGCAGCACCTGTCCAGGACTGCAGACAGGGTTCTCTCCTGGCTGCATCCAGAGACGCCAGGGATTGAGCATCACTTACTAACAGTGCAGATGTGTTACAGAAAACCAACAGCCCCCCTTATTTACTCCCACTTTGGGCCTGTGCTCTACTGCATCACTCAAACCACTGTATCACATACCATCATGTAACATCATGCAATCCTCAGGGGGTGCAGTGGGTCAGTGCGAACAGCCAGGGCCGTCTTTAGCAGATGCGGCACCGGGGTGCAAATATCCGCCCAGCACCCCCAAAGTACCATGGATAGTGTTGGGGTGGCTGTAGCTGCGCACTGCCAGCCATGGGAGAGGCACAACTCTCCCTCATGCTACTGCGGGAGAGCGATCCTCACAGAGGCTTGGGAGTGAAGTTGCACCCCTTCCAAGCCTCCTCGGGAGGAGAGCAATCCCTGCAGAGGCTTGGGAGGGAAGCTGCATGCCTGCCAACCTTATGGTTGGCGGGGCACAGCTGACGGGCATGCAGGGAAAGGGGAGGCCACCGGCAAAGCCGCGCAGCTCCCCCACTCGCTGGGGCACTCCTGAGAGGCCGGCACCCTGGCGCAATGCACCACTAAGCCCTATGGGAAAGACGGCTCTGCGAACAGCTATGGGCAGGATTCCTGCTTTGCCAGGGGGTTGGACTAGATGACTCTCAGGGTCCCTTCCAACGCTACAATTCTATGTTTCTATGTCTGGGTTTGTGGTCAGGAGGCAAAACTGGCTATCAAGGAGACCTATGGGCTGGGCCACTCCCCAAGCACCTCAGGTAGCCTGCAGCTGGTCCTGCAACACACCTTGCAGCCTTATTGCTATGGAATCCTATGAGTCCCTTATATCAGTTGATTCCAGCTGAACTGATGGTTAGGAGATATTGTAGCTATCCATAATGGCGATGCTACAGTTCCACAGAGAGCAGGTCAGCAGTGTTGCCCTCTAGCAAGTTGATATAGCAGTGCAAAGATTGTATAGAGGCATTTCTGCAGTGCCACTCACCTCACTTCAACACAAGCAACTCCATGTAACTAACTGTTGGAGGTTTCCTCCTGCCCTCAGCTGATTTTTTTTATCTGCCCACCCACCCCCGTATCTCACCAATGGTCCTGCCCTTGTCTGATGTTTTACTTCATTTCCCCCCTGTATCTGATACAAGTCCCGCTGTGTCTTACTCATTAAGTTGGCAGTATGTGATAGAATTTCTAGTTCATATTACTTTATTGGTTGAAAGTTTGAAAGCAGAGCTTTTTTTTTGGGGGGGGGGGGTAAATGTCATGAAATATCTTTGATGCAATCAACAATTTTCCAGAATATTAAACTACCAATCCATCTAACAATTCTACCTGTTAGCTCCTGTCAATTTTTATACATAAACGTTAGGGGAAACCCAATGAAAATATTGTACAACCCTAATATATACACAAGAGCTTTATATCCTACTTCATTAAAATCAATGAACGTGTTGCTGTTATCCTAGAGCAGGATTGCATCTGATAATGCCTCTGCATATTTATACACATATGAACTTGGAATAGTTATTAACTGACTAATATTATGCTGTGATATTTGCAGGGATATCACACTGCCATGCCATGGTATGAGAAAGAAGGGAAGGATAGAGATGAGGACAATTAATTTTATGTAAATGTAAATTATATTTTGGTGAAGCAATGTTCAGTGAAATCACTTATCTGGGGGATATGAATCCAGCAATGAATATAAGAGATTTGTGAGGAATGCCTCTTGTTCAAACAAATTTTTATATTTTCGCAAAGTCCTCGAGAGCTAGTTTTATGACAATTTTCTGCCAGCGTTATCTTAAATTGAGATGGATGGGGAAATTCGTGAGTGAACTGAAGCCTGCCTGAAGGACTGATAAAGAGCAGCACGCAGAGCCGGCGAAAGGGTTCTGCTAAGCACAGCAGGTTTCAACATTCTGCCTGCTTTTACTAGAGAACTTTGTTAATGGTCTTTAAAAAAAAAAAGAAGACGGATAAAACACAAATTAATGAACACAGTTCAGATGAAAGTACCGTATTTTTCGCTCTATAACACGCACCTGACCATAACACGCACATCGTTTTTAGAGGAGGAAAACAAGGGAAAAAACATTCTGAATGAAACAGTGGATGTATCATTTTTGTGCTTCATGCTGTGGCCACAGACATGTGATCTGATGGTGAATTTGGGGTGACCCAATGCAAAAATCCTGAGAATTCCTGTGGATCCATGCTTTGTAACCACGTTTTTGCACCATTGCAGCCCCAGGCAACAGTGGGTGCGTGATTTTTTTGGTGCAGGCTGTAGCCATGGACATGCTATGTGATCTGATGGTGAATTTGGGGTGACCCAATGCAAAGATCCTGAGAATCCCTGTGGATCCATGCTTTGTAACCACATTTTTGCACCATTGCAGCCCCAGGCAACAGTGGGTGCGTGATTTTTTTGGTGCAGGCTGTAGCCATGGACATGCTATGTCATCTGATGGTGAATTTGGGGTGACCCAATGCAAAGATCCTGAGGATCCATATGGATCCATGCTTTTTAACCACGTTTTTGCACCATTGCAGCCCCAGGCAACAGTGGGTGCGTGATTTGGGGGGCAGGCTGTAGCATGGACATGCTATGTGATCTGATGGTGAATTTGGGGTGACCCAATGCAAAGATCCTGAGGATCCATGTAGATCTATGCTTTGTAACCACATTTTAAGTGGGGAGCAAAGGAAAAACAAAGAAGGGACATGAGAGGGGTGTGCAGAGAAGCAGCTGGCTAAGAATGCAGGAGAGGGAGGGAGGAAAGAAAGGCAAAAGTTTCCCCCCACCCAAGCCAGCCATCTCTCTCTCTCTCTCTCTCTCTCTCTCTCCCCCTCCCCCCTCTCTCTCTCCCTCCCCCCCCTCTCTCCCTCTCCCTCCCCCACTCTCTCTCCCTCTCCCCCAGCAGCACTGGAGCACAGAGAGGAATTAGAATGAAAGACGCTCTCTTTCCCCTCTGCTTGCCTGGAGGGGAGGGGCTTTCCCTGCTCTTTGTTCCGTTTCAGCAAACACAGCCACGAAACAGAGGAGGGTGGGCAGTAAGACCCTGAGGCAGAATGCAGGAAAGCTGCCACTTCCTCTTTCCAGGTTTCCCTTCTCCGTGAAGCGCGGTTTGATTTTTGTCTAATTTTTTGGCTCCAGGAACCACACATTCGCTCCATAACACGCACAGACATTTCCCCTTCCTTTTTAGGA